TTGCCCCTAAGCAATTGACTACTTTACTAGGCCGATAGCAAGTATTATGTGGGAGAGGCCACTGCTAGCATGTCATCCCTGACTTGGAATTCTATGCACTTATGATTGGAACTATTAGCAAGCATCCGCAACTACTAATGTTCATTAAGGTAAAACCCTACCATAGCATTAAGATATATTGGTCCCCCTTCAATCCCGTATGCATCAATTTCTATGTTAGGTTGAAGTTTCTGTCACTCTTGCCCTCCTATACATAGTCCTATCAACATACAACTAACCCTAGGGTGTGATCCACGCGCGCAATCATATGATGGGCACCAAAGGACAGCAACATAACCACAAGCAAATTAAATCAATCATAGCAATTCATCAACCACTGATAGGACAACGAAAATCTACTCAGACATCATAGGATGACAACACATCATTGGATAATAATATGAAGCATAAAGCACCATGTTCAAGTAGAGGGTACAGCGGGTTGCGGGAGAGTGGGCCGCTGTAGATAGAGGGGGGAAGGTGATGGAGATGTTGGTGAAGATCGCGGAGGTGTTGGTGTAGATCGCGGTGATGATGATGATGGCCACGGCAGCGTTCCGACGCCACCGGAAGAGAAGGGGAGAGGGGGCCCCTTCGTCTTCTTCTTCCTTGACCTCCTTCCTAGATGGGAGAAGGGTTTCCCCTTTGGTCCTTGGCCTCCATGGCATGGGAGGGGCGAGAGCCCCTCCGAGATTGGATCTGTCTCTCTGTCTCTCTCTGTTTCTGCGTTCTCAGATTCCTCCCTTTCATCGTTTCTTATATTTCCGGAGATCCGTAACTCCGATTGGGCTGAAATTTTGACACGATCTCTATCCGGAAATTAGCTTTCTTGCGGCGAAAGAAGGGCATCAACCGCCTTACGGGGTGGCCACGAGGGTCAGGGGCGCGCCCCCTACCTCGTGGGCCCCTCGAGCATTGTCTCGCGTGGATTCTTCTTCCCAAAAATCATATATATTCCAAAAAAAATCTCCGTCAGTTTTTATTCCGTTTGGACTCCGTTTGATATGGATATTCTGCGAAACAAAAAACATGCAACAAACAGGAACTGGCACTGGGCACTGGATCAATATGTTAGTCCCAAAAATAGTATAAAAGGTTGCCAAAAGTATATGAAAGTTGAATAATATTGGCATGGAACAATCAAAAATTATAGATACGACGGAGACGTATCAGCATCACCAAGCTTAATTCCTGCTCGTCCTCGAGTAGGTAAATGATAAAAAAATAATTTTTGATGTGGAATGCTACCTAACATAATCTTGATCATGTCTAATCATGACATGAATATTAAGACACGAGTGATTCAAAGCAATAGTCTATCATTTGACATAAAAACAACTAGTTGACCCGTTGCGCCCAATGACGCAGAGACCCGCTAAAGACATGTCGATGAAAATAGTTTCATTTTGCAAGGACATATTCGATACTGGTAGTAGAATGGCCATGTGTTAAATCATACGATATTGAGACCATGTTTATTCCATGTGCGCGATGAAAAGATATTCAAGGTTTAGTTGTGGGCAAGCACATATAGCAACAAATTTAATCTCTTTTAGTCTGGATAAACGGTAGCTTGTTGTCTACAATGAAATGCATATACACATAAGTCCCATTTGAGACAATATATATGTAAATCTATGTTTTACTTTGTTTAGTTATGGGCAAGCACATATGGTAACAAATCTAATACCCTTTAGCAGCAAAAAACGATGGATTGTTATCTACGATGAGATGTATGTACACATTATAATTTGGTAGCACAAAGTCCCATTCAAAATCATGGCATGTTGAAAATATTTCCATTTTCAGCAACTCTGCTTTAGAAACTACACCCAGGAAGAATTTACATCTTAGTCACATTGGAAACGATACGGCGTTAGTTATGCTGTTTACAGAGACAAACGTTGCAGGTAACAAGGGACTTTTAATAGAATCATCACCAGCTCTCACAACCTGGGTAAGTCTCAGTTCTGCATCTACTATAAACAAAAATATCATAATAAATTGAGGCTAAACCTCTGTGCCTATGGTAAACAAAAGGAGGGAAACACACCATAATTCTTAAAGGACCTATCCTAGGATGCATTTGACCGCTGTACCATCCTAAAAGTCCTTCCTGATGCTTCTTAGCTGATCGCCCTGCGTATGAGATTTTGTGCCACCTTCTCAACGCTGATAAGAGTTCCATTGATAAGCTATTCTATGGGTTCAATACCCATCAAAGTCAAGAGAAAAAGATCATGTGATGCATCTCAGCTGATTGATTGTTTCATCTCTGCTAAGGTTGTGGAGGTCTAAACTTCTCTGGAATAGCTGCAACACAAAAGAATAAACCATACCATACTCAAGTTGATCAGTGCAAAGCTCTTTATAAAACGGAAACTTCAAAGGCCATATAAGGTAATATGTTTATAGGATTTAGTAAACAATGGCCGGAAAACAAAAATATTTCTCAGTACAGAACAAACTAAGAACATTTCAACGCTAAAATAAAACTACAGCAAGCACAATGGTTCCACTGAACTGTGTAGATACCTAATTGCTAATTTAGGTTGTACGGCTGATGGAATCAAACAACATACAAAGAATATCCTTTCAAGTACTCCCTTTGTAATTTATATAAGACCGTTCAGATCACTAAAGATTGTAGCTTGGAGTATATTAGTTTACAGAGGGAGTATAGACTGTAGCTTGGAAAGTGAAAACAGTGCAACGCACATGAGCCTTGCATGACGTATACTTCACAAAGAACACAGCCGAACCTGAGTGTACAAAGGTCATAGGGCTCAAAAACTCGTCAATCCTTGAACTGGTTACATTATAAACAAATTAAGCTTGTCATAGAATAAAACCATTATGACCTACTAAAACCCAACCTGACAAAGTGATCCATTTCAAATTTTCAATACATAACATTTGATGCGTTGTTAATTGCCAAGTTGTTTAAATTTTTGGAATAGAATCATGTGGCCCAAACATATCTTGTATTGCCGTTTACGGAATAAAGGAAATCAAAAATATTTTAACATTAATTTATCTTCCATCCTAACAATAGCCTCATATAGCACCACATCTCTAACCTTAAGCTTTTTGAAAAATGTCATATAAATATTTTGAACAAAATAAATGGCAAACAAAGAAGTAATATATGCACATAAAATTCATGTTTACTGGTTTACTATGAATCACTTGATGAAGGAAGCAATTGATTTCAACTATAAGAATGATCATATATTGATCATACTCCTAGTGGCTCCATGGTCAAGGTGAGGTAAGACCTCTGTGGTGACGGGTGAAGCAAAAATATGCGGGTAAGTCTCAAAACTGCTGAACTATACATTATGTTTCATTTCATGAAGCACACTGAACCATTGATACTGCATTAAATGGCTAAAGAACCATAACCTGAAAAGCTGTCATGGTGATTCAATTTCTAAAACATGTGGCTCTTTTTTGTAATGTTGGCCAATTTCAGAAGATACAAAAAAAGGGCATGCAAAGATCATAATCTGAACTAGATGTCTAGAATTTATAGAGAAAATAGATATGATAGTCGAAGCATGAGGCAAAAATTCTTTTAGGTCCTGGCACAAAATCACAAACCCATAATTGATATCCAAAGGTCACTATTTTGAATTCTCGCTAAGCATGGCAGGCAAAGTATTAGAGGATGCAAATGCTTCTATTCTCCTTATTAATTGTTGCAATGTAAATCTGTAAGATATACATGCAATTCCAGCCAGGAACACACTGACCAAATACCATCAAAACCACTATGGGAAATTAAGAATAGGTTCCAACTTTTTGTTCACAGGAAATAAAGTAAGAAAAGAATATACCAAAATTTTAATATGAGTTGTAGAGAGGTGGGGAACCATGATCCTTCTTCGGGAAGAGACACCAACGGCTGGGCGTCGGAGGGCTCTTCTAACACACATAAAGCAGATACATCATCTGCAAACCATGCCCTTGCTCAGGTTGGAGCCTCATTTGAAGAACAGATGCCTATAGAACAAAAACGGGGTCAACGGCCTTGATGCTCTTTCTAGGTGGAAAAGGCCATCATGGAGAAACTTCTAAAGAAATACAATAGAGAACAAATGGCCGTCAGAAGAGTTCAGATAGTTTCCTCAAAACCAGAGCAAAATAATAAATAATAAACAACCATATGTTCACTTGTTTAGGATGTTCTCGGTCATACAGACCACATTTCTGGTCCCTTTCCCACTATATCTTAACTCGTTTTCTGATCACAGCTACACGACCATGTGTCATAAAAATACCAGTTTTGTAGAGAACTTGTCGCCAAATGGTGTATCATTATCAAGAAAATTTGGATGAAGGACTGCCAATTTAGCACATGTGTTTAATCTTATCCAAGTGTTTGAACCCCCAAAAGCATAACATACTAATTCCTTGTCTTCAAATATCATTATGGATGGAAAATAAAAAACAGTGCATTAACCAAATACGTGATGCACTTGTTACTGAAAATTACAATGAGTACACATCAATTAAGCTAAAGAATTTGCAAAGAAAGCCTACCACAGGGGACAGAATCTTCAATGAACTGAAATTGCTCTTTACAATGGTGTTTCAACTAATACCACTAATTTCTGCATACTATAAGTTGTTAATTCTTTTATTTTATAATAGAGAGGATTTTTTGGTCTATTGGTGCATATGCGTTATGTCTTTCAGATTCCACCAAGATTGTGATAGGACTTGGAGTTACAGGTAAGCTGTGGTCTGTAGTCTGTAATAGGTACTGTAGTCTGTAAGAGGCTCAACGATGAAACATTATTTTTCGAGGGAAGTTGCTTAATGAAAGGAAGAAAATATTTGAACGTAGCTACAGACCCATATCAATCACTATCGGCAGGAATTGGGATGAAGATTGAGAGAGTTGAGAAGAGGGAGAAACATACCTAATACAAATTCCATTGCAGCCTTCTTTCATTTCACTCGTCACCAATAAGCATGCTGTTGACATTAGGTGCCAAGTTGCCTCTTGAATATCCACGAGGAATAGCAGCAACAAGAAAACCCTGAAATTGTATTTAAATAGCTCAGCTAACTAACCATGGTGTAGCAAAAGTAAAATGGCCATATCTAGGCAAGAAGTTTCGGCCAAAAACTAATGCAGCATGGTACGCGAAAATGCATCATAAGACTAATTAGTTAGTTCCTTAATCAATGGATAGTTTCCACTTTTCCCAACCTGATTATATTTTTTCTGCATTTAACTATACTATTCTAAGTAACCTACCACATAGAGCAACAAAAAGTACCATGGCATGAATGATACACAAACTAACATACCTAGAATAAGCAATCAAGTGGCCTAAACATATGTATTAAAGTAGGAAGGGATGGGAAATGGCAGCCCATGTGAACTAATTACCTGGCTGGAAGCCATTGCAGAATGTCAGGTGAAGAGTTATCATGGCCAATATACAAGAAACAGATTTCAAGAGTTCCCCAAATCAATTCACCAGAACCAAGATGGACACTGCATGTACAAAGTTGAGATTTGAAAGACATTAACACAATAAAATCATTGTGTTGAAGGACGATTTTAGGTGAAAAAAAACTGCAGGAAAACATTGTGTTAATCTCTGCAACATCTTATTATTAAATTTATCACACCTTATTAAAACATTAGTTTGTACCAAGACGAATAGATGCCGAGTCTGTACTGCGGCAAAACCATAAGCGCTCACAGATTAGAGAGCAAAGAATAGTAGTACCTAATATGCTAACATATTGCCTTAATGTAGTACTGCACTATTAATACCTGAAAATGGTACACGTGATTTAGAGGAACATAATATACATGATGAGCAAAAGAAACTTTTTTATGCTGGTATATGCTAGGTTGCAACAGAAATTTAAGAAGCTGATATGCTGCAGTATACTGTACTTGATAATCTGAATAGTCCAGAATAATTATTTGTTTGCTTTCAGTCACTTAATCTGCAGCAGAAGGGAAGAAAAATGCAGGAAAATAACAGAAGGTGCTGAAAGGACATGGGACAAACATAGACTATGGGGACAAACTGAAATTGCTAATCGTGATACTTATTACCTGAACAGACATTCACATTCATTGGTGTGGCACTTAGTCGTAACTAAAATGCACGGATATTGGTGTTCCACAGTAATAGACACTTGAAGCCCCATGTTGTAATTGTAACTGAGCAGAGATATAACAAAATATTACAGATTAGATACTTATTTAGGAGTCAGTGAAGAGCAAGCAGGTTCACCTATTCCCCTGCCTTATCCTCTGGAAGCAAACTGGGAATGCGTTTGCTCCCTGTAGGGTTCAGCAAGGAAGTCTACAAATAATCCCAGCAGGGCTCGCTGAGATATGATAACAAGCCAAACTTACCATCGAGCCTTTCCAGCCACGGAGATGAGCCGATCCGCCTCCCTGGCAGGCATCCGCGCCTCTCCTCCTTCTCTGGCCAGCGACGCCCGGTTGAGCTCCTCCTTCTGCGGCTTCCTTGCGACGAGGGCTCGCCTCCTCCCGAGGCTTCCTCGCGAGCTGGGGTGGATAAGGACCTCAGGAGATGGTGGATCTCGCCGAAAGAACTGGCAGAGCTTTT